CTAATTCAACCTCGATTGCAAGTTGCAAGCAGAAAAAGCTTCTCTTATAGCAAAGGCTACATTGTCTTCTTCACTGGCTTTCAAACCAGCTTCCTTAAGTGTCAGCATATAGCTCTTTTGCAGGACTCTGTAGCTTTGCATTTACTGAACACTCATGTGTCACTGCTTTCCACATGTGCTATGGTCTGTTTGCCCACACCCTTCCTGCCATGTGAGGATGCAGCGAGAAGAGGGCTTGTCCATGAACCAGAAAGCAGCCCCACAGACACCAAATCTACCAGTGCCCTGACCTTGGACTTCCAAACTCCAGAACTGTGAAAAATAAATGTGTTTTTATGAGCCACCTACTTCATGGTTAGCATGTTATGGCAACCTGAATGGACTAAGATATGACTTACTTAATCCTCCTAACGATCCTACGTAGATCTGATCATCATTTCCATTATCAGACGAGGCAACTGGCCACACAGGAAGCAGCAGAGCCAGGGCCGGCCTCCCAGTGCAGCTCAACACTGCAGCCGCCCGTTATGTCCCTCAGCTCCATGTGGTCTGTATCCAAACCACAGCAACAGTTTGGTGAAACATTTCACAACCAAATAACCAGGTTCCCCAATTTTCGGCCTCGGGAAGCTGGGTCCTTGTTAATCCTGTCCTACCGGCCAGGCACGGTGGCTCACGCCTGTAATCCTAGCACTCTGGGAGGCCGAGGCGGGCGGATTGCTCAAGGTCAGGAGTTCGAAACCAGCCTAAGCAAGAGCGAGACCCCCATCTCTACTATAAATAGAAAGAATTAATTGGCCACTAATAATATATAGAAAAAATTAGGTGGGCATGGTGGCGCATGCCTGTAGTCCCAGCTACTCAGGAGGCTTAGGCAGGAGGATCGCTTAAGCCTAGGAGTTTGAGGTTGCTGTGAGCAAGGTGACGCCATGGCACTCACTCTAGCCTGAGCAACAAAGCGAGACTCTGTCTCAAAAACAACAAACAAAAAAAACGTGTCCTATCTCCTCCATCTTTTAGGGTTTGTCATTTGCAAGTCCAGATATCAATCTGTTTATCAGTCGGGGTTCTTAGTACAAATGGAGGAACTCACTCTAGCTTGCTTAAGCAGAAAAAGAGTCTATCAAAAAAACAGACTGGGTAGGGAACAGAAAGTCCAGACAGGTAGGGGCAAGCTGGGAGGTTGTATGTAAAGACAGCCCACACCTAAGCCGCCCCGAGGACTGCCCTGCCTGACACCACACGCCAGCAGGGATGACGAGGAATCTGCCACTGCCGCCCCAACGCTGGACAACATCGTGCGGATGGGCCCTGGCCAAAGTGCGAGGGCAGGTTCTCCATGAAGCTTTCTCCCAAGCTGGAGTCCTGGTGTGATCAGAAGATCCCAGTGCACGCCCCTGCCTGACCCACAAGACAGGCTGGGAGAGTAAGTTCCTAGTCTCTAACTTGGGGAGCGGGGAGTGGTGGTCAAAGCAGAAAATTCCCCCCACACAGGAAGGGTTTTCAAACCGATGGGCCACCAAGGACAAATGGCTATTACATTGAACCTTGGCAGTTATACTGTAGCTTAATTTTTAATTTATACTGAAATTAATTTTTAGTTAATACTGAAAACTATTTTCTCTGAAGCACTAAACTTGCAGGAGGTTTAGAACTTATTCCAATATCAGAAATTCATTATAAATAAAGCACTAAATGATTGGTATAGTTATAGATAACTTAAAAAATAATAATTACAGAGACTGGGGAGAAAGACATTCATTAAGTTATGTCCAGACTAATAAAAATCAAAGTAGTATCAATCACTTGCATTTCTCTGGTTCTTGATCATGAGAATGCCAGGAATGGCCACCTAAATACAAATAAATAATGTTATTACAAACAGTAACAACAATAAATGCAAGCATTAAGGGTAGGTTGTAACTCATTCCTTATTCACGTTAGAGTTTATACAAATTGCACTAGCCATCACAATATTTAGCACAGCACATTTAGGTACCTGTCAGCTAAAATGTGGTATCCACATTAATATTCATACACCCAATTCCACAGGTAAAACTGTTTTAAGTTTCAGGGCTGCTTTTAATTCTTACTGTCTTGTAAAATGTTCAGTTATATAATTCTTTTACCTTATAGTCTTTAACTGAAAATCATTTTATAGAACATGTGCGCTTTTATCACAAAACTCCAGTCTTAATTCAATTTTATTCAGTAAAATAATTCCACAAAAGATAAAATGTTATTCTTTTATTTATGTTAAATAAAAACATGAGAAAATCCTTTTTTAAAAAGGGTCAGAATATTTCTTATGTCTCCAAACTAAGTCCATGGATGCAAAGAAATGTTGAATTCTTCATATGCTTTCTGTTGTAATAATCAAAAGACACAACACAGGCTTGTGTTGCCACTTCAAAAAGTCACACGCAGGATTTGGGAACGCAAGGAACAGAACGCAGGCATAAGTATTTTCTTAAACTACCTCCTGCCCCGGCAATGAACCTCAGTACCAAATATTTTTATGGATTCTTTTTTATGGTTCTGCTAAATTGTTAAGCCACACATACTACTGCACTTCAATGGTACAATTTCTCACAGTCCAGAATTATACTGATTGGCAGTACAGTTTAAGTGGCTGACGTAGACGAAATCTCATAAATTTTAAAATTACATACAGGAGAACTAACACTATCACAAATTTTGCCCATAGCAACATGGCCCTAAGGAACTGCCATTTCCAAAACATAATCGGCCACACATTACAATGCACCTGGCTAGGTTCTGAATTAACCTGTCATTTCTGATCTACCATAAAGACTATGCTTCACTCTCTGAAAACAAATGCTAGATTCATGCATGGTTTCTATTCCCACATACTCCATAAATCCATCACAACCCATCTGCCATCTGGCTTAATGGCAAATGATTCACCCGAACAGGTCATGTACGCTCACAGTCCTCCAATCTCAGTTCAGGCTGTGAAGAGTGTTTTCTATGACTGGAGTCACTAAGAAGAATTTCTCTGTTAGAGAAAGCAGCCGTGCTCACCTCTGGCACACCGCCAAGATGATTCTTTATTACAGAATTTATGAAACTACAGCTTCATGACTTGGAGGCTTTATTAAAGGGGGGGGGGGAAGAAAAACAAAGGATAATTTAAGACAACCCCATGTCCCAAAATTTCCTAGACTTTTTTTTTAGTGCAAGAAATGCTGCATCATTGAAGCACTTGAGAATTACCATGAAATCCTAGCAAAAAGACAACCAACTCAGAGTGGTATTAAACAGAGAAACAACCAGAGGCACACAGATTGTTGGTTTTTGTTTTTTTTTTTTTAAAGGATTTTTACACTATATTAAAAAACCACAAAATAAAAAAGGGTCCCATCAACATATATCTTAGAAGTCCCTCCAAGAGTCTCAGTATCCAGCAGCCACGGAGGCTGTGGTCTCTCTCCGCCTTCGCTCAGCCTGCAGCTCATTTAAGGATCACTGGAGATGACTCGTGCTCTAGTTCTTAAAATCAAACTTGTTCCGCCAAATCCAAGACCCTGAATTTATCCAAATTGTAGAAACATGCTTTTACCACCCGTCCACCAAAATACCTCCCATTCAGATCAACAACAGCTTTAATCGCTGAGTCTACTCTCTCAAATTCTAAAAATATCCGCACTGCTTCATCATCTGGGGCCCCAGGGATTTCAAATATCACACATTTTCCAACTTTGCCATATTTTTCACATTCTTCCTTGGTTTCAACTTCCAAGTCTTCATCCACCTCTCCTGCACCAACCATGTTCTGCAAACAAACACACACACAAAATAGTTCAAGTATCAAGTATAATTTACAGAGGGATATGAGATTTTCTTTCATAATAGCAAATGTTCTCAATCTCAAATGATACCATGGGAAATTTCATCCCTAGATATCCAAAAATTGGTATTTCCTAAAACACCAAAACATATATTAAGCTTCGTAAAGAGTTAGAAAAGCATGCAAGCACCAAAACATATAAACTAAGCTGAAGTTCTAGCAGTTTGAAATATTTAAAAGTAACTACTCACTGCATTTAGCTAAGAAACTTATACATTTAGTGAAAAGGGAATCTAAAATCAGCTTTATGTAGGATCTGCCCAAGGCATTATTTGCAAGAGCATCACTCTCAGTTTTACTTCTATGGTATCTGTAGGGAAAGCATGCAGGGGTAGGGCATGTTGCGGTGACACATAAAAATCAAGGCAAGCAGACAGGTCGTTTCCTTTTGCTTCTTACCCTCAATAGGACCACTTTAGTAGGACACTTAAGTATTTCAGTTAATGGATTTGAATCCGACTTCTTAGTTGCATCTGTATATAGAGAGAGATCTGCCATCACGTATGTTAAACAACACATCCTACTTAAAATAACTGATTTAATTTCAATAGCAATCTCCACCATTTACATCCTAGAGTCATCTATAAACATCTACACAATCAGTCTCTGAGCAAAAATGTAGCCTTATCTGCCATGAAACATCTGACAGCTTTGGTGTATGATTTCACAATAATATCGGCAAGTCTTCAGCTTCTGCCATTACCTGCAATTTTTGCTCATTTCACTTCATAAAGACTCTTACAGGTGAGTCTTAACTTGGAACTACAGTCCAAGGTCACTAGCCCAGAGTAAGCAGGCAGTTCATTTATTACCCTGCCACTGGCTAACTTCTTGGGGATGACCGCTGGATCTTGGTACTCACCGGTCAGGCTAACTGGCTGCTTGCTAAGCTGTGCACCAATAGGGCTGCCAGAAAAGGTTTCCTCTTTCTTTAGGAAAGGGAGCTCAGCTAAGCTGACTCAAAATCAACACCATATTCATGCTTAAAATGCTAATATAGGTTTCTCAGTCCTATATACCCTCAGTACAGAACAGACTGTAAAATTTAAATAGAAATAAAACACCAACTAGGTATCAATACACTGCAAAATAACATTAGATCTCAAAGACAGAGCAATCTGTAAGAAAATCAGAAACTACATCTATAACAAAAGGGCAGAGAGGAGGGGAAAAAGCAGGGAAGACCCCCTAGGATGGAGATACAGCAGATATAACCACTGATACGCTGTAGACGGCTCTGTCCTTCATGCTATAAAAACATAACCATTGTTTTAGCAGGCTAACAAGGTTCTCTGCATGGCCAAAGTAGGGATGCAATCATTTTCCTGAGGACAGTTCATTCTCTGCCCAAGTCTCATAATCTTTTTCCTCCCACAGGCCTTCATCTTTGTACCTCTGTTCTGACAAAACAGAGATGAGCCCTGGTATTCCTGGCATCACAAAACAGAAGTGGCAGAGCACTGTGACCAGGAATGACCATGTTCTAGCACATAGGGGCCCAGCAATACCCTCCCCACCCCCCCCCCCACCCAGCCACACAAACCCTCCCTCCCTCCCCCCTCCCCCCAGCCGTCCCAACGACGCACCGCACTTCCCTGGGGAGTCACCTTTCTCCGTCGCGTCACCTACAATGATCTTGCCACCACGCTTGCTGGTCTTCTCCACTGACAGGGCGGTGCTCAGGCCCTGCTCGTGCTTCCCCAGGCCCTGGCCCTCCCGGAAGCCGTACTTCTGCATGATCTTATGTGCCACCGTGCCCCTGGGCAGGAGGAAAGGACTCTGAGCCTTGACAGCGTCATGAGATGGGCTGTAGTTTACACCACAACAGTCTCCCACAAGGGCTCCGGACGTCACACATAACTAACGGTGGGCCATTAGGCGGAAGAAGTATGGAAAGCTAACGAATAAAACCCACAAGCTGTTACCTTTGAGGGGAAATGCTAGTTTCCTCAGTACCCCGTTAGAAAACCCTATACCTCCAGTGTGCTGCAGACCTGTATGGCTACAGAGCTTATGATCACAGTTCACTATAAAGTGGCCTGTCGACGACAAGCATGAAGTTTCACATAACGAAGATGATGCTATTATATTTTCTTCCTAAATCACAGAGTGGAGTTTCCAGTGACAGACCATATGAAAAGACCTTAGAAATCACATATTTAACAGATGGGACATGATGAAACCAGGGCCCAGGTAAGCAGACGAGCTTCAGGCTGACTAGAAGCAAAGCAGGACTCACATTTAGAAATTATCCCCATAGGTGTGGACAGCAGCACTGAAACCAGATCTGAACTGACGCTGAGCCCGCCGCCCTCCGTCCACCGCCTTTTCCGCACCAGCCCGGGCCTGCCCGGCGCGCTGGGGCACCCCAGCGACCACTGCTACTCGGGGCTTCCACCAGAACTGCGCCTACATCACTTCATGTAATGAGTTCCCTTGAAATTTTCTTTTGAACAGGTTGTTCTAGGGCTAAAAAAGACTGAAAACTGATGAACTACACTACTTGGCATCTTTCTCACACATGAGTTAAAGATTTAATTCCTATTTAAAAGGAAATTCAGCCAAGAAGCCAATTTTACCCTAAACAAAGCAAACTCCGTGTCCTCCCAACCTTCCAGCACACACTCTAAGGCAGCAACGTCGAGTCATGTCCTGCAGTAATGGGAATGTCCCGTATCTGCACCGGTCCAGTGCGGCTGCCGTTTCCATGTGGCTACTGAGCCCCTGAAGGAGACTAGTGTGACTGAGGGAGTAAACTTTAAGTTGTATTCGTTCTAAATTGACTTACTAGCCACCTGTGAGGAAGGAAGCAGTTACCACAGAGAACCACCCAGGTCTGGGAGCCACAGCGCAGGAACACCAGGAGAGTCAAAACTCAAAATCCTCCCTCTGTGCTCAAGCCCAGCCACGTGCTCCCACTCTGACCAGCCGCCACCCCGAGGGCTGCGAGAACCGGAGCAGACGGCAGCGGGCCAGGCGGCGCAGTGTGCGCGCTGCACTGGACCATCTTGGGAAGCGCCCTCCCAACGCTGCAGAGCAAAGGCCTCGTGAGACGCCGCTTCACTCAACAGCCCCTTCACGGTATCCAAGCAAACACCTTGAAACACTAAGCAAAACGTATACCGAATCCACCAGGGTTTTTAAAAAAATCCACAAGCCCCACCTGAACGTCAACCTTAAACTTGACTTTTATGCACTGGCAAACAAATCTCTAATTACAGTTAAACAACCAAGAGTGTTTAGACTAAAGGTATAGAGCCATGACCTTAAAGCAAATAACCCGAGGTCCCGCCCCCAGCTGCGCTTGGGTCCCTCTATCACTGCGGCCCCTTCACACGGGTCAGGACGGGCAGCAGATGGCGTCTGCCAGCAGGGTCGTCCAGGTCGTCAACCCACACACTCCACTAATAAGATTTCCTAACAGAAGAGACAACCCTAAACCCAATGTAGCAGAAGCTTTGCGATCAGCAGGGTTACCATCTCACTCTTCTGCAATTTCCCAGCATTCTAAGGGAAGTAAATCACCAGATAATGATAATGTATCAGGGTCCACCAGGCACTGCAGAAATAATAAAAACACTGCCTCAGAAATACAGAAGGAAACTTGTGTGTCTCAAGAAGAAACTGAATCTATCCAATGTGGAGTCCAGAGTAATCACTGTGGCTGCTGTTTGTCATCAGACAAAAGAATTACCTTTACAATAAATGACTTCTAAAATGAAAAATGAGAAATTGTATATTAAGCAACTGTAATAAATATTCCGTAAAAGAAATGAGATATAGAAAATTTAGGTGGACACTTGTATCTCCTAATTTATGTATCTTGGTCAGCTTCTCCACAAGCTTACCTAATTAATTGTTTATATACTTTATACTTATTAAAGTATACCTTTAAAAATGAAAAAGCAAATGACCCATTTTATCAGGAAAAAAAGATATCACTCACCCTTTGTAGATAGCCTAAGTCAACTCTAATTCGTGTGAGCCATTTTCAAATGTTATGGAAATAAATGTAAATAATTATCAGATTCTGTTCCCATCTGGAGGAATACCACTCAATGTCAAAATCAGCCAAAACTTACATTAGAAGACTTTCTGTTTGTGCAAACAGTATGTTCATATGGCAACACACTCCCTGTGACTTGCAGTGGGCGTCGTGTGACTGCTCACACCAAGTGTCTCCCTATAAACCTGAACGTCCTCATGTTCAAGCAAGCTGCATCTACAGAAAGGGTTATCGACACTTCACGCTGTTTCTCAAGCTCTCAGACAGGAGCACGTAAATCATTACCCCATGTTAGCGAGGAAGGAGTTGCTAGGCCCAGTTGGAGATCTCGGTCTGTCCTGTTCCTCGTATGATGGGGGAGGAATAGCAGCTTTGGAAGACTGTGATCGAGGTCTTGAGTCCTCTTCATAGGGGAAGTCTCGAGGTACTGTTGGAGGAAATAAAGTACTACAGAAAACATTTTGAAACTACACTTGTGTCAATTACTTATCTTGAACTAATTTAACCTATATTTTTGGCTTACTGCAAGGAGAAAAAAAATAAATAAATTTTATAGCCTTTGCTTGACTTTTTTTTTTTTAAATCACAGAGGCAGAACTACTTTCCCGATTCTAACTTTGCTATTTGTATCTCCTCAAATGTCCTTTTTACATCTTAATAAAATGATATTTACCCTTTATAAATCCTCTTACATGATAATTCTTGCTGGAACCCTTAAGATTTTCTGTATGTTCCCAAGAGATATAATCTCTCTTTTGATTCCCACAACATCTTGGGCACGTGTCATAAGACTCTGACGTCACCATCTCATTAACCTCACGAACCATAAAGGTCTTTGAGGTGAGGGGCCACACACGAGAGCAGTGGCTTCAACTGTCACTACACAGGAGAATCAACAAGCAGCTTTAAAACTACCCAGGTGCCTGGGCCCCACTCCCAGAGACTGGCTTCAATGAGGATCTACTGTTTGCCAGTTCTTTTCACACAATAGGTATTTAACAATATTTCAAACATTATCTTCTTTAAAAAGATAACATCAACAGTGCAGCAGGTACTGAAAAGTACTATAAGTGATTAAACGTTCTTGGGATAGTTTAGGTGTGGCCCAGCCAGAGCATGGGATCCAAACAGAAACTAAGGGGAGAAAAAATGTAACCAAGGAAGACACTGCCACCTTGGGGAAGGCCAGGAATATAACAGCCTCTAAACCTCTGAGGAAAAAAATTACAAATGATCTACTTGTGTTTTAACTTAACTCCAAACAAATACAGAATGTTGAAGAAGCAAAACAAACTGCATGAAAAAGAGATGGGTCCATGGTGTAGAAAGCCAAGCCTCAGATCCTGGCACAGGAAGGTCCCAGCAGGAGGGCAGAGAGGCAGCAGCCTGCTCAGGGCAGTGCAGCCGGAAGACAGATTTCCAGGCCACTTCCCTCTAAACTCAGGAGACCTGGGGAGCCAGCTAAGATTCCCACAACTGGGTTAAAGCCGGGTAACAGCTCTACTTACACTCTTTATCTTTCTCCACCAGAGAAGTAGGTGGGGCGATGGCAGCTCCGCCCATACCTGCAAAAACAGGAAGCAGGGAAAAGGTTTCCGATGCCAGACTCCCAAGGACTGCCACACACACCATTTTCACATCACCCACCCCCTAAGAAAAACTAAAACAGGAAGAGACCTGCTACCTCATCCCTCCTGCTAACACATAAACAATTAAGCTGGGTCCTGCTAACACATAAACAATTACATATCTGAAGCTGGGTTTAAAAATGCAGAAAACTGGCAATACCCAGACAAAATTGTTTTTTTCATAAGAGGCATTCAAGAGCCCCAGATTATAGATAACAAGCCCCCACCACACAGCACGAACCTTTGCCAGGGCACAAGGCACTGAACTAACACCCATTTGGAAGTGTGGGTCCCTAACCCTAACCCTAACCCTGCCATGTGTTGTCACTATTCCTGCTAATGTTTCCTACACAGAGAACGGCAAACACAAACCAAAATGGTGAGAGAAATTGTTTCTATTTGCTATCAGACAACCAGAGGAGAACCGGAGTGGAGTCTGTAAAAAATTTTTCATTAGGCATGAACCCTAACATATGTATTATGGCTTAATCACCAATGAAATAATAAAAAAATAATAATAAAGCATAAATTTAAAAAATTGATTATGAAATCATGCTGCATGAGCATGTTTCTTTACAAAAGAAATTATTCTAAAGCCAGTGTCCATGCACTATGATTAACAAGACCAGACAACATGAAATACTTAAGGACAAATATGAACCTGAGTAAAAACCTTCTGATATTTCTTTTGAAATATCTCCTTGATCATTTTATTAATATTGTCACTAAGACCTAGAGCGATTTCTGAGTCTGAAAAATAGAATAATTCTAATTAGTATAAAAAATTCAGGGTGAATACTGGAAATCCACTACCCATCAGGTTAAAATAGGAATATCAATCTATAACTACAGTATAAATAATGGACATACTGCTTCTACTCTCTCATGTTACTTACAAGGTCAGTCAAATATAAAGTCTTTTCATTAGAGGCCACATAGTTTTCAGAAAAACTGCAGGTAAGGAAAAGTACCAGAATAGATGTTAAGCTATTCTGAAAAGTATCTAATAAATGCTAGAAAGTGGTTGTGAAGCTCAAAGGAGAGTGAAAACACCTGAAAACACAATATAAATTAAAAGGAATTTAAATTAAAGGATATGCAAATGTGGATTATTGGGATTCAGAGAGAAAATCACCCAAATCAACATCAAAGGACGTATTTATCAAATTGAAATGACAAGCCAGTAGTGGAAGCGACCGTGTTGGAAAGGTATTCATGCTCCTGCCTTACTTCTTTTCCTCCTCTCTCGCTCATAATCTTCATCTTCGTCAGAATCTGGATCTGGTCGTCTTGAAAACCCACTGCCTTCGTGTCTGTCCTTACGCCTCCTGTGAAAACAAAGAACACAAACGTTCACCACAGACGAACCAACTTAGAGATGTGGACCTGGGCGGCACCTTGACTTCCTCTTGGCCAGAAAATACTCAAATCCTCTTTCACAATAAACTATTAGCTGGTGGGTGGAAAACTGTTTAAAGACTCAAGTAGCAAAAGTACGGCAAGTGACAAAAATTCGAAAGATTAACTGAACAAATTTAATAAGCGTATGAGTGTAACTGGCAAGAAGTTTTCTTGACATTTACCTCTTTTGATTTTCAAGTAGATCAACACAGTAATAGTTCAATAATTTCAATTCTCTAGAATATTCTTTCACTCATGAAATGATTCAATATATGGGAAGCAGTATATTTTAAAACGTTGACTATTTAATATTTAAAATTAAATATTTTACAAAGAAATAAAAATAAATTCTGTTACTCATACTTTTCAGAAACATAAATAAAAGCTGTATATAAGCTTTTAAAAAAATTCTACCTGGCTCAAAAATAGTAAAGTTAAGAATAACATTTTAAGTATTTTCAATAGTTACGATTCTACAGATTGAGTATCCCTTATTCAAAATGCTTGGAACCAAAAGTGCTTTGGATTTGTTTGGATTTTGGAATACTTGAACTGCACTCACCAGTTCAGCATCTCTAATCTAAAAATCCGAAATATGAGATGCTCCAATGAGCATTTCCTTTGAGCATGTCAGCGTTCAGAAAATTTTGGGTTTTGGAGCACTTCAGATTTTAGATTTCAGATTTTCAAATTGGAGTGCTCAACCTACAGTAGAATCACAGCATATAAAACAAGTCCTCAACACCAGGTTTCTGTTATTTTTCTAACTCACCCAAAATATACACTCTGGGTTTTTAGAGTCCATAGATGAAGTGCACTGACATGCTGGGATGCAACAACTACAAATCTTAAAAACAATTTGATTCCTTTTTTTTGACTGTTCAAATCAGCCCTGACAACTAACTTCAGCATTATGGACAGCACAACAGTTCATTAATATTCCAGTGAACATTCAACTGCATAAAATCCCCAAACCCAAAGGAAGCCTTACTTTTCCCTTTCTTCTATTTCCTTTTGTCTTTCCAGCTCCCGCTGTCTCTGTCGTTCCTCTCTTTGGCGCTTCACTACTTTCTCATAATCGTTAGGAAACATAGGATCATATTCGTCAGCTAAAGGAATCAGAACTTCCCCTGCAGAAAACCCACTGGGAACAGGATCCTGAGGAAGGTAAAAACACCAGAGTGAAACTCGTTTTCACATCTTACAAGTTAGCTCACAGAATTAAGGTCAAAGGATATGGGAGATAAGAGGGGCCTTGAAGACAACCTACCCAACGCACCCCACTGTCTTACAGCCATCACCAACAGAAACTCAACACACTAGTACTCTGAAGCAAAAAAACTTGTTTACAGAAAAACACTGAATATTTATGTATCTCTACAAAAATTTAAAAAGCAAAATAACCAATGAACAAAATCTTTCCTGCATTCATTATTTAATAGAAGAACTTCAGATTCTGATTACATGGAGAGAACAATATATTATGGTTTTAGAAAGCATGTTCTTATTCTTTTAAAAATCCTCTGGACCATATATCCCTTCCTAGGTAGGCCGCACTTCAGGGACTGAGTTTGACACAGGTGGATGTAATTCCCGCCCAGCATCATAATCTTTTTAAGGTCCACGGAGATCAGGCTCAGATGGTGACATCTGTGTTTTCTCTTCTATACATTCAGAAACTTGGACTATTCTTTGAGAGAAAAGAGGTAATGTAACAAAGAAACGAGAAAAACACGAGACACAGAAGATAGCCTACTAGGAAACACATGACTAGAAACAGGGTTTTACCCTAGGTTGGCAGCCTCAATCTACATGTGGTACTATAAGCCCCGAGCCAGCTTTCCTAACCCACCACACTTTGTCCTCTTAGCTTTCTTATTACCATCACTCTCCCTTGTTACCCGTTAATAAGAAGATGCCTTCACAGATACCTTGAACAGGCACAGGTTAGGATTACAGCCCTTGAGTACCCAGTCTGTGCCTCCTTCATGAGGTACACTGCCCAACAGTAGCAAAGGTGAGAATGTAGTTTGTAAATATATTTTGTATTCGAACACAAAACTGATATGATCAAGACAGTTTTATGTTCCACATCAACAGATTAAAATCTAACAGTTCCTGTATTCCTGTTAGGTTTGACACTTTGCGTTGTGAGACAAATACTCCATCATTTCCTTATGACTAAAAAATCAGAAAACCCTATGATCCAATGAATAAAAGCAACTAGAAAAATAACTATAATCACCTCCCAGGCTGTACCACTGGAAAATTTATTTAATGTGGGGCTCCTGAAGGCTAGTTATTAACTTGTATTCACATAAGAGGCATTTTAAAAACACAGAAGCACATGAATGAGATTTCTTTCCCATTATTATTTAGAGATAAAGCAGCCACAACATTTTTACGATGCTATTATCACAGTGTGTCTAAGAGAACAAATTGTCAGTATGAATGCTAATTTTTTGTCATTTCAAACTTTGAAAGGAACAACTTTTACTGCTTAAACCCTGCTAAGCTTAACAATGAAACATTCCTTTTCTAAATGCTATAAAAATTAAAGGAGTTTGTTCAATTTTAAAAAATTAAAATGGTAATACCACCGATGCTAGGAGGGGAGCATGGGATAACACACAGGCACACATTTTAGGTGACACTGTGTGCTGCTGGAAAAAAGCTGGAGCTGAAACAGACGGGCCACACAAAGGCCTGATCTCTTAAGGCCACCTCGGAAAACCCACCCTAAGAAAATAACTCTAAGTGCACAGAAAGCCTTCTGCAACGGTGTTCACTGGAGTACCATTAATAAGGACAACATAAAAGCATGTCCAGATGGGTCTACAGTTAGGGAATACTTGTGTAAATTATGCTGCATTCACTTGATGTGAATATTTTACAATTAGAAATTGGTCATGAAAACTATGTAGCAAGGAGGAAAAATGCTTATTGATTAAATGGGGGGGAGAACAATATCATAGGTACTAAGATCAACACACAATTACAGAAGAAATGATGAACTAGTTTTTGGTTAGATGTAGAAAGAAAAAAATTAGGGGCCGGGCATGGTGGCTCACGCCTGTAATCCTAGCACTCTGGGAGGCCAAGGCGGGAGGATCACTCAAGGTCAGTAGTTCGAGACCAGCCTGAGCAAGAGCGAGACCCAATCTCTACTAAAAATAGAAAGAAATTAGCTGAACAACTAAAAATAATAGGAAAAATGAGTTGGGTGTGGTGGCACATGCCTGTAGCCCCAGCTACTTGGGAGGCTGAGGCAGAAGGATCGCTTGAGCCCAGGAGTTTGAGGCTGCTGTGAGCCAGGCTGACACATGGCACTCTAGCCTGGGCAACAGAGTGAGACTATGTCTCAAAAGACGAGAAAAAAATTAGGTAGCACATTTATGGGGGGAAATGTCAACTGAGTAAGAATCAGCATAAAATACCCCACGGTGAGGTGTCTTCCCTCTTGAAGGACTATTATTCCCCAGGAGCAGCACCAGCTCCTCTGGCCGGACCGCTCCCCAGAGCTAAGCTGCAGCCTGCCTCAGACATCAGGGAGCAGCCAGGGACACGGAATGCAGTGGGGGAGAGGGTCATGGAGCTGGGACTATGTCTCAGCCTGACTTGGCCCTTTCTAATAGCTGGGGGAGCGGGCAGGAGTACCTTGCTAAGAAACGGTCAAGAATAACAGCATCATCTATTATTACTCTTTTGATCATTTTTCATCAAGCAGTTGTGTACAATGCATGGTGTTGTTTAAACTACCATAGTCTTATTACCTGAATGCCATTACGTGGAAAGATAACTGTATACTGAAATAGTGGGTGTCATTTTAACTATAGTTTATATATTAATAATTCATCTGTACTTCCTTTTGTCTAAGATTAACTATGATTTTGAATTATCCTTCTCCAGATCTTCTTCATCCTCATAAATCTAGTTTCTGTTATAGGGAGCTGACCCTATCTGGTTTTTAAGCACATGTAAAATCACTGGGATAATTAAGGTTAGGGTGGTAGAAGGGTTTTAGTGAGTTTTTTTTTTAACTCCTTGTTCTACTTTAATCCACAATAAAATAATAAGTATTAACATTGTTTATGACAACAAAAATTAGAAACTCATATATTCAGCATTAAAGGAATTAAATTATAGTACATCCATAAAGGAAATACAGTGAAGCCATTACAATGATCATACAGTCCTGGATTTTTTTACCCAGACAGTCAATATATTAAGTGAGAGAAGCAAGTTAGAGAACAGAAGGTAGAGGGGGCAGAGTGGGAAGGTTTTACAGAATATAAAGTTTTAATTTCTGGAGGATAGGACTGAAGGTCATTTGTTTTTCCTTTTGTGTATCTCTAGTTTCTGATTTTTCTATTAATATAACCCACTTTTATTTTCCGTTTTAAAATTGGTAAAACACTGGGAGGCCGAGGCAGGCGGATTGCTCGAGGTCAGGAGTTTGAAACCAGCCTGAGCAAGAGCAAGACCCTGTCTCTACTATAAATAGAAAGAAATTAATTGGCCAACTAATAATATATATAAAAAAATTAGCCAGGATGGTGGCGCATGCTGTAGTCCCAGCACTCGGGAGCTGAGGCAGGAGTCGCTTGAGCCCAGGAGTTTGAGGTGCTGTGAGCTAGGCTGACGCCACGGCACACTCTAGCCTGGGCAACAAAGCGAGACTCTGTCTCTCTCGATCAATCAATCAATCAAATTGGTAAAACAAAAGTAAAAATTAAGTTGGAAACCTAGATTTCAAAGGCCCACTGGATCATCTGTTCAGAGTGACACATACAGAAAGCAGTGTCAAAGGTAGGGGGAGGGCTCACCTTCAGCCCAGCGGCGACATGCGGTGGTGTGTCCACAATCTGCCGGTCGTCTGAGGAGCCGCCTCGCTTTAGGTCAATGACTGGGGCAAGAACTGTACTTTGCTTTGTCCTTTGGCTCTAAAAATCATCAAAAAAAATAAATAAATAAAACGTATTGAAGCTTCAAATTATGTCATGGCCCGACTGCAAGACGGGGAATGAACACATAAAGACATAAACATAAAACACAGACACGAAAGAATCGGCTGTAGTCCCAGAAATCAGAGCACACAGACACATGGACGGTTCAAGACTGCAGCGCTTAAAGCACCAGTCGTTTTATTTTTATACTGTTTAATTGGCAGTTCCCGCACTAGCTCTCATGCCAGCTATTTTCCCAGTTACTTTCTGGTACGTGACTTCCCACGGGCCAACAGCACCTGTTCCTCCAGACATAGTACAAGAGATGCCCTTCAACGTTTGATACCGTTTGCAGATAACAAGACGCCTGGCTTGGTTGCACAGCACAAGAGAAGATGTTTGCATTCTTTCTTCTACCATCTGGTACTGTGTGGATAACAGACAAACTTGGCTCACGTGCAAAACCACAGGTCCTTGGCCATTTGCCTGGAGGAACAGTTCTCTCTGCTGGTCAACAAGTCACGTCCTGCTAATTGTGGGAACAAGCAATGTGCTCCCGTTCTTCTGACTTTGGGTCTCGGCCAATCTGACCCAGGGACGTCTCCTTGAAAATTAAAATTCTTTGCAACAAAGATTTTTTTTTTTTTGTGTCTGTGCCACACCTTCCTGGGGGTCCTGGAACCAATCCTGTGCACATACCAAGGAGAGACTGTATAATCTTAAAATAGACATACAAATGGAGCCACAGCTCCATTTTTCAGCCACAGGTAAAATTTTCTCTACCAAATATCTTTACAGGTTTGGTTGAGCCAATCTAGTACTCCAAGTACTTAATTAAGCAGCCTAAGTGAATCAATGCAATGTATCTTCATTTCCCTTCAAGAAAAAAACAATTCTAACTGTATATAGCAGTTAAGTTACATATACAGAAGGAGGTACTAAAGTGGGTCTCTGAGAGCCTAGATTTCATATAAAAACACAATTTTTTGCTCATTAGTAACTAACTCTACTTTTCATGTGAGTAAAACAATGGTATAAAAATCAATGTGATTCATTATTATATGACTTTTTAATGCATTTATTTTTTTAAGAATTTTCTCAATTGTATTTTACATAAGTTAGTTTTAAACCTGTAGTTTATAAATATGCACTGGCTAGACACAGAAAGTGACAGAGGAGTACACTGACCAGAGGAAACAAATTAGGAGTTTTAAAAATTTGCTGTAAGTTGGCCAGGCGCAGTGGCTCATGCCTGTAATCCTAGCACTCTGGGAGGCTGAGGTGGGAGGATCGCTCAAGGTCAGGAGTTCAAAACCAGTCTGAGCATGAGTGAGACCCTGTCTCTACTAAAAATAGAAAGAAATTAATTGCCAACTAAAAATAATAGAAAAACCATTAAGCCGGCGCATAAGGTGGCACAAATGCGCCCTTGTTTTAGTCCCAGCCTACTTGGGAGGCGAGGCAGGAGGATCACCTGAGCCCAGGAGTTGGAGGTTGCTGTGAGCTAGGCTGACGCCACGGCAAATTTGCTGTAAGTAATCCATAAAGCTGACAGTTTTTAAGTTAATAATAAATGATCCCAACCAGTTTTTAATACTGTACATCTCTCTACATATCTTTTGCTGACTTCTGCTTTTCTATTTGCTATCTTCTGTTGAATTAAGATTATCCATTAATGATGTCTACTCAAAGTCTAATTGAGTTTATAATAAAATATTAGAATTGCTTGGTAAAGCTAGTCATTTCAGAAAAAAGGGTTCAGGAAGAATCAAATGTAAGAAATGATACTGGCATTAGAATATAATGCCTTAATTATATACTTTAGATGCAAAGCTAAAGTTACATAAAACCTACATATATTTTAAAAATTAATTTTAAAAAAATTAAAGAGAAAAACAAGATTTGTTTACCTTCCTTTTATTTGGAATGAAAGCTTATTTTAAAAAGACAAAATTCTGTCTATTTAAAAAGAAATGCTAGCATCAAAAAAATTTAAATCTGGTAGTGATGAATTTGAAAAAGAAAACCTAATAAAACTGACAAAAAGAACACAAATCTTAAGACAGTGTTGCTTTATCTGTGGGTAACCTAATCCTAAAAACCCCCTACTAAACAATCAAATGTAAGTACCTCCATGGAAGTATCTATTGATGATGGGGTAAAGGAAAAAGAAAAACAATTAAAACGTAAAAAAAAAAATGTTTATTAAAGAAAATGTCAAACATAAAATTAAAGAGAAAAGACTAATGAACTATTCAGTCTCTACTACCCAGTTTCAACAATTTTCAACTCATGGTCAACTCTGTTCAACCCTACACTCTCCTGCCAGGGACTGGATTATTTTGAAGTAAATTCCAGAAATTAAATCATTTTATCAGTAAATGTTTCACCATGTATCTCCAAAGCAGTTTTTCTCAGCCTTTTTTCATTACTGCCTCCCTGCATCAGAGCCTTTTAATACATTTTTCCCCACCCATGAAGTTTTTACACCACAGACATATCATGTATCTGTTTAGGTATGGCACTTCTATTAATATCTGTGCTTTATACATAAAGTGAGCAAGATTTTTTCACTCCTGAAGGACCAACATTCACCCCGTTTGGGGGGATGTAGCCTCTGTTAGGAATGCGTGCTCCAAACCTGCCGTCAAGAGCACTGTCTCCTCGTCGCTATCCCGTGAAATGTGCCCGTTGCTAGCAGCAGTGAAGTGACCTAACACTCTTCGTTCCTCTCTCCATAAATGTGTAACACTCTCCACCCAAGAAAAAGGCAGGGGAGCAATCTACAACCAAACTGCCTGCGGCCTAACAAGGAGCCCACCCTGGAGAGTCCTGCCGGCCCCCGGCTGTCCTCACCTTGGCTTGCGTGAGAGCCGCCTTCTTCACCTGGAGCTGAGACTGCAGGAGTTTGAAGTTTTTGGACCAGCCTTCTGTTTTCGAGTCACTGGTCTCCACTCCCAGGTCATCGTACAGGGACATCTTTTTTTCAGTTTAATGCTGAAAGGAAAGGGAGGTATAGATTAAAGAATGCAAAATATAGTAATGATTTCGAAATTGTTCATGTAAAAGTGAAATTTTAGTGGCAGAAGGCCTAGGGTCCTTCAGCAACAGAGGCCAAGACCTCTGCTATCACCAACGCAGGGATCTAACACATGAAGCTATACCCATGTGCTATTTTTAAAATAAACCTCTACAATCAATTTTTCCACCTATAAGGTCATGTGGTCAAATAATTTACAAGTGAAAGCCTTTGGTTCTACAGCATATAATGAAATAAGATGGAAGTTCTGGATTGAGGGCATTATTAACTACATACATCCAATTTTTAAAAAAATTTATTCATCATCTCAGTGGCAAAAAGTAGCAGATTCACAAAAAACACCAATTATCAGGTTGATTTAACACAATTAGCTATCCTTTTATAAAGAAAAAATTTAAACATGCTCCTAGAAAAAAGGGACAGAAATGATCTCACAGATGCTGTAATTTTTGTAAATCGTGATTATCTGTTAAGCAGGGAGTAGACAGGTTATAGCTTAAATACTTTGACTTTCTCATATCCCATCAAGTGGAAATTTATAATGGGTGATTACAAAGAAGCAATGGACAACCGACATGTGAGCAACACAATATCCTTGCAGAACAGAGGAATACATGATAATGATAGCAAGAGTTAATCCTGCTAAGCCTTGCCCTAGCCGCCCAGGGTTGATGTTAGATGCAGTAACAGCAGTACACACTGTTAAAGGTTAAAGCCCAGCACTTCACAGATGAGGACACTGGGGCTTAAGGGGTTAACAGGCCCAAGGTCATAGTGGGAGGCCCCTTCCAACCCAGGTAGGTAGCCTAACTCCAGGGCCCTCGCTAGTAAATTCCAACTGCCACCTTAAAAAAAAAACCCCTCAACATTCTGAAACTCACTAACAAGGTCCAATTGTTAAAATACGAAATCAATCTCTTGGGGACAGAAAGAGAGAAAAAAAAAATTTAAACTGAAATCAACAAATTGCAGATAAATGCTTAGCAACAGAGTTTCCAATTTATAGACACATTCTTAAAAGTCTCGTCAGTTCCCAGAGGCCCAGGAAGCATTTTCCCATAGAAACTGAGTTATACACAGCCTGCTTTTGCTTGTGTTCTGTAACTCAGAGGAAGAGAAGGGTAAAGAGAAGGGCAGGAAAATATTTAACACTCCCTCTCCCCTCAGCTCTGACTCACGGCAAACATTTCTCTTTGGAGTACCTTAACTTCTCAGCCCCCCACTACCTGCCACCCCAACACCTTAGCTGGCCTTGGAGGCACACTGTGTGGGGCCGAGGACAGGGAGTGGATGCCAACTTTTATTTCCCAGGACGAGTGGCTCTGGTCTTAAGTACAATTAGCCCCCTGCCTGAAGTCAGCGCCCCACAAAACTGTTGCCCCTTTTCAGTTTCTTCCATGCCTTCAGACACAAACCCTCAGATTATTTAAAACCTCTCCATTTTGATTGTTAATGAAAGGTCCCCCAAGGCAATGGAGAAGCAGGGCTTATAAAAGCACAGGTCTGGGTACTGGTGGCTGAGGGCTCCAATGACTCCATGAACATGAATGCAGGGATGCCTCTGATTCTCCTCCCCATCAAGGCTTCTCTAACAACTCGCCAGCTCAGGTGGCAGCAGCCCGTCCCACAGGGCAGGCCCACTGCCCTCAGGGCCACAGTTTAAGTGGTACAGGAATCTGGTGATGCCTTGTGACATCAGATTAAACACTGAGGCCAAATCAAGAAAAAGTAACAAACTCCATTTTTTAGGTGGCTGAAATACAACCACGACTTCAAAGTTTTAGGAATCTACTGCAGAACCTAGTTTAATCCACTCTACTGTAACTCTGTGAAAACCTCAATCCAGTTTGTCCTGCTCTATCCCCAGACTAAAATCACTGTCTGCCCACAGGCAAACAGGAAACGAGGCCAAACATGGAGTTTATACTCTACTTACAAAGCCCTCCCAATCCACCTTTTAAAAAATTTCTGGCTAACAATTACTTTGCCCAGAAGGAAGATCACTGCACCAAGCAGCTTCTGAGGCTTTGGCTCACTTCTCCTCTAGCTCACCTGGAATCTAAAGCTCATTGTTCACATCCAGATACGTATCCTTAAGCTTTAAAATGGAAAAATCCAAGCAGAGCAACAGGGACCAATCTAAGCAGAGCTGTTAGGACCGTGGTTCCCAAAAAGCTACTTTGGAAATGACCGTGCAGCTTTCATCTGACTTGATCTTTTGAGCTCTCCTCCTTCAACTGGTCACCAAACCAAAGTCTAGTAAACAACAGGTTCCTCTGTTCTTCATTCTTACAAGGGCAGGGGAAGACTAATACATTCTGAGGAACAAATACAAACAAGGACACTTTCTGGGAAATCACAGAGACAAATCAAATTTGTTTGCGACCCAAACTGAACTCCACTTTAGGTATTTACTTTTCTCAGTACAGGTTGAATATCCCTAATCTGAAAATCCAAAATCCAAAACTTTTTGAACATCTCGACATGACACTAACAAACAGAAAATTCACACTTGACCTTGTGTGAAAGGTTGCAGTCAAGATTTTTGTCATGCACAAAATTAAAAATATTGTATAAAATTATCTTCAGGCTATGTGTAAAAGGTACATATGAAACATAAATGAATTCCATGTCTAGACTTGGGTCTCATCCCCAAGATATGTGTATGCAAATATTCCAAAATACTAAAAACAAAACAAAACAAAAAAAAAACCCAAGTCCGAAACACTTCTGGTCCCAAACATTTCAGATAAGAAATAGGCAACCTGTATCACTTCATAAGAAATTTGAGGCCGGGTGCGGTGGCTCACACCTTTAATCCTAGCACTCTGGGAGTCCAAGGCGGGAGGATCGCTCAAGGTCAGGAGTTCGAGACCAGCCCGAGCAAGAACGAGACCCTGTCTCTACTAAAAATAAAAAGAAATTAATTGGCCAACTAAATATATATATAGAGAGAGAAAAATAATTAGCCAGGTGTGGTGATACATGCCTGTAGTCCCAGCTACGTGGGAGGCTGAGGCAGGAGGATTGTTTGAGCCCGGGAATTTGAGGTTGCTGTGAAGTAGGCTGACGCCACGGCACTCTAGCCCAGGCAGCAGAGTGACACTCTGTCTCAAAAAAAAAAAAAGAAATTTGAGAACTTTAAAGATGTTTACAAATGTGCTAATGCCAATAGAAACAGGTTAACCAAATGCCCACTAAACTAGGAGGGGAAAGATTAACTTATTCATTTTTGTATCTCCAATTTCTGGCATGGAGTAAGCATTTAATAAGCACTTATTAAAATATTAATAGTGAAATAAGCCTATGTAGCCACAGGAATCAGCAGTGAAACTAAGCAAGGTCCACAGGTTCCACCAGGGAGGTAAAGAACAGGCTGAAGGTTCTAGAGATGGGTGACAGGTGCACAAGGTGAGTGCACTTAATGCCATGGAACGGCACACTTACAAATGTGTAAACATGGCAAGTTTTATGCATATTTCACCACAATTTTTAAAAAGCTTAAAACAGAATAGGCAAAGAGGTAGCACTGGAGTGTGGGAATGAGGTAACTAACACTAGAGTTTATCTCCCTACCCCGAAGAGTCAACTCTGATAGAAACTTTGTTCTATATTTTGAAGTTAATTATCAAGCAGTATAGATCTCAGCTGCCAACACAGCTCCTCCATCTAAGAATATTTAACAAAAATTTCAACACTGAATTAATGAGGTTTTATGAGACCAGACATCTCCTATGATTCCATTTCCACTGAAGATGGTTTGTTGACAATTCCATGATTTGCCTCGTTCTGCAAGCTTCAGAAACCATTATGCAGCAGAATCTTACATTCCTTTAAAGTTCCCTAATTTTCTTTTCAAACCTTCAACACTTTAAATATTAGAAACTGATGTAACTTACCAGCATCTGCTAGTTTTCTATAACACAGAGCTTATAAAATCAAATCTGTGTCTCACAGTAATGTAGAAGAGCTTTATTTGCTTTTTTCGATTTTCACTGAACGTTTAAGTTCAAAGAAATGGATTAATCATAGTAAGACACACTATCCTTATCCATCCACGCACGTGTGACTGCATTATATATATAATAAACATCTGAATTCATATCCACACAAGATCGACAAACCAAACACCCCATCTCAAGGCTATCCTAAACATCATATACACTACATAACCTGAACTACCCTGTTCTCATTATTCCTTGCTCTTACTATTATCATACCCGTTTTATTTTACCTAGTTGTAGTGCATTTACTCCTTAAAAAGGGGTTATTTTTATTTTAGCTGTTTTAAGCATTTATGAATATACAATAGCTTATTCACTAATTCTTCTCACTGCAACCACTGAAATGTTAACAAGTAAATTAACACAAACTTAACCTAATTAATGTTGAGATATCACTTAGGTAATATAACAGTTATGTCATGAAGCTGGTGCCAGGTAATAAAAAGCAGCACTTTCTATAAAGTTTGGATATGCTAGAAAAAGCTGGGAACAAATTTAAATACAAACCACTGGTTTTTATAACATCTTTAAAATATTTACTTCTTTTTGGCAACACCATCTTTTGATCAACCCATCTTTCATATATGCTTTATTCTTAAGAAGAAACATGGTTCTGCCAGAAGAATGGTGACTTTTCAACATTCCACCTAAGCCAGAAAGTATTTTTTAAACGTGCGACTGGCAGGAAAAGAACAAGGAACACATCTGTCAGAGGCATCCCACCTACTTCTCTTTCAAGTGCATCTTAGAAGCCTTTAGTGACTACCACCTCCACAAAAAACCAACAACTTCCAATTTGTTTCCCCTAACATACTCAGATCATAGCAGTGTTTGGATGTTATGCTGCCTACTGGGTTTCACATTTGTCTCTTACTATACCACAAGCCCCCTACAAATAGGGGCTGTTTTTGTCTTTATATCTTTAGCTTAGCATCCAGTGCTCCATTAGTATT